TCAATATCACAAATTAAATTGACAAGTAATTTAATAAGATATTTTTACATTATATGCATCTTAAAATATTTTAAAAAATTTATTGTGAAAAATATCAGCTGAATCGCGTTTCAAGATCAAAAATTTAATTGGCGCGTAGTTTATAAAATTGGATATGTATATATAAATTTATTTGGAAATATTAACCACAAAGCTGAAAGTTCATATCGAAAAGGCTTTTGTTTTCCTAATTGCATTTTTATATATCAACCTAGTGTTATTGTTGCTTTTATTAATATTAAAACAAAAAATTACATTTTAAATTATTTTGACTGATCTTGTTTCAGTATTAAAAAAGTAACGGAAAAGTAACAAATCGTTATTTTTTAAATAACGGTAACGATGACGAGTTATTTTGAAAAATTAGTAACTAGTAACGGTAACTAGTTATTTTTTTAATTCGATAACGAATAACAATAACTAGTTACTTTTAAAAAGTAACTTTCCATTGCCTGCAAGTGACTTGCAAGTATGAGATGTAAACGCGTATTAATGTGCATTATGTTTGTGTCATATATATATGTTATCTCTGCTTCTTTACTTCCCTTCTCTCTCTCATTACAGAAGATTTATTATACCATGGTCTTTGACCATGAGCAAAAATGTGTAGAAAACATAGTCGATTTTTTAGTTTCAAATCAGTCGCGTTCGAGTACGTGCGTCACGCACAACGTCAATTTCCGATAACATATAAGTGCGTAAAGTATTTATCGTCAGAAAATGTGAGGCAATATACATATATATGAATTAACTCATCATCAAATATAGGTACATTAAATCACGACCAATTACAATTAAGAGAATCATTTTCATAAACTCTCATTCTCTCTTTTATTTTTAAAATAATTTAGAAAAAGCTTTGAGACATAGTGAAAGTAATCAAAATTTTGCAAGATGAATGTACTGCAACGTTAAGGTGCATTTCAGATCCTACAAAGAAAAGCGGACAACGTTTGGTAGGCGACGTAGCTTACCAGGAAGCTGCTAAAATAGCTTCGTACATTACACCGGTACCAGGCGGCGTTGGGCCGATGACAGTAGCGATGTTGATGAAAAATACCGTGATATCCGCACAAAGGTCGGCGCAGAAGCTCCTCAACGTCCAATGGAAATTACGGACACTTAAACTGAATCCCGTGAGACCCGTGCCGAGCGACATCGATATCTCCAGAAGCCAGGAGCCAAAAACGATCGCTGTGCTAGCCGATGAAATCGGACTGCTGCCGAACGAGTTTAGCCCTTACGGCAGCAGGAAGGCTAAAATCGGCCTCAGCGTGCTGCAACGACTGAAGAATCAACAAAATGGAAGGTACGTCGTGGTGGCGGGTATCACGCCAACGCCGTTCGGCGAAGGAAAGAGCACGACTTCCCTCGGATTGGTGCAAGCACTAACGGCGCACAGAGGCATCAATTCTTTCGTTAACGTTAGACAACCCAGCCAGGGGCCTACGTTCGGCGTCAAAGGAGGTGCTGCAGGAGGAGGGTATTCGCAGGTACGATGAAAAGAGAAAAAGTGAATTGTCGAATTTTTGGATCCTCGAATTCTGAGGCTAAACTGTGTGCCAAATGATACCTTATAATGAGATATTAATTATAGAGAAGTTTCAAGTGATGTGACAATTGTTATCAGAGTTGGAAAAGGGGGAGAAGGATGAAATCAAAGTTCGTTAAGGAATTATCACAGATGCGAGGTCCGGTATTTTAAGAAGGTTGATCGCAGTTTTACGTAAATGACGCTCGTTTTGAATGTAAAAAAATCGAGTTTTCGCGTAAAGAGACGCAGAGAATAGAAAGTTACTTTTTAAAAGTAACTAGTTATCGTTACTCGTTACAGAGTTCAAAAAATAACTATAGTTACCGTTACATAGTTACTAATTTTTAAAAATAACTCGTTATCGTTACCGTAACTTTTTTAATGCTGAAACAAGATCAGTCAAAATAATTTAAGATGCAATTTTTTATTTTAATATTAATAAAAGCAATGACACTAAACTGATATATAAAAATACAACTAGGAAAATGAAAACCTTTTCGATATGAGCTAGAGTTTTCAGCTTTGTGCTTAATATTTCAAAATAAATTTATATATACATATTCAATTTTATAAACTACGCGCCAATTAAATTTTCTTGAAACGCAATTCAACTGATATTTTTCACAATAAATTTTTTAAAATATTTTAAAATACTAATAATATAATGTAAAAATATCTTATTAAATTACTTGTCAATTTAGTTTGTGATATTGATTGACTTGCATTCTTGAGATGTCATAAACCAATTACAGAGCCATATTAATATTTGAAGACATTATTTAAAACAGTCTTAAAATAAGAGTAAATACTAACTAAAAACTGAATATACATACGAAAATTTTGTCATAAATACAGAAAGTTTAAAATACAAAAAGTAACGATAAAACTAACTGTATAATTCGTTATCGTTACCGAAAAAATATAACTATTTTTTTCTTTATAGATACTTTTTCTGATAACGGCGTTATAAAAAAAAAGTAATTCTAACGGGATAACGGCGTTACAAGTAACGAGTTACTTCCAATCCCTGAAGAGACAGTAATAAAGTGATCCCCCTCCAGCTGTGATAACAATTGTCACCTCGACCTGAAAGTTCTCTGTGATTAATATCTCATTATAATAAGGTACTGTTTAGCATGCAGTCCTACAGTCCCAAAATCGAGGGCCCAAAAAAAAAAACAGGAGAAAAAACCACCTTTTTTGGGTCACTCTTTCTTCAGATTGCGATACTACCATTATATACCCAACATCGGCTTTATTGTGCAGGTCATACCCATGGAGGAATTCAATCTCCACTTAACCGGAGACATTCACGCCGTTAGCGCCGCGAATAATCTTATGGCGGCGCAAATCGACGCGCGATACTTCCACGAGTCGACGCAGAGCGATAAAGCTCTATACGATCGGCTGGTGCCGACTATCAAGGGCGTCAGGAAGTTCTCGAAAATCCAGCTGAGGCGGTTGCAAAAGCTCGGCATCACGAAAACCGATCCGAACTCGTTAACGGAGGAAGAGCAACGTCGATTCGCAAGGCTTGACATCGATCCGGAGAACATCACGTGGACGCGAGTGGTGGATATTAACGATCGGTTTTTGCGCAAGATCACCATTGGTCAGAGTTCAACTGAGAAAGGCAAGACAAGAGAGACCTCGTTCTGTATTTCCGTTGGGTCCGAGATAATGGCAATTATAGCATTGTCAACCAGTGTCGAGGATATGAAAAGACGGCTTGGTAATATCGTTGTCGGATTTAGCAAGAGTGGCGAGCCTTTAACTGCTGAAGATTTTGTACGTATAATTTAAAATTATTATATGTATATATATATATATATATATATGTATATATATATATATGGAAAATTATCTAAATTATTTACTCTCGATATTATTATTATTTATATAAAGCAGCGATTATTATCTATCTTGTTAAATTTCATACATAAGTATTTTAATATAATTTTATCGATTTAAAGTATAATTAAATTAAGTTACAATTTTACATATAGACACGCATTCACAATGATCTTGATAATTTCGCATAACAAAAACAATTTGCGGCTTGTCCGGCTTGTCTAAATATCTATTTAATCCGCAGGGTATGACGGGAGCAATGGCGATTCTGCTAAAAGAAGCTATAGAACCGACACTTATGCAATCATTGGAAGGTACGCCGGTAATGGTGCACGCCGGACCGTTCGCCAATATAGCCCACGGATGTTCATCCATTCTCGCTGACGCTATTGCCCTAAAATTGGTCGGACCAGAAGGTATCGTAGTGACGGAAGCCGGATTCGGTTCGGATATCGGCTTGGAAAAATTCTTCGACATCAAGTGTCGTACTTCCGGACTCGTACCGAATGCCGTCGTACTCGTGGCGACTATCCGAGCATTGAAGATGCACGGTGGCGGACCACAGGTAACGACCGGGGCACCGTTGAAGAAAGAATACGTCGAAGAAAATGTCGAACTTGTTAGAAAAGGCCTGCCGAATCTGCAAAAGCACATCAGCAATGGTTTGAAATACGGCATGCCCGTAGTTGTTGCCATCAACTCTCACAGGTGTGTGTTTTTCCCTTACAAATAAATGGCAAAAGCTGAATAATCGCGTACGCTAATCTTGAAGAGTATTATTAAGTATAATAATTATTAATTATATATTTATATAATTATATTATAATAATTATTAATTGTAATAGTTAATTAATTGTATTGTGCGAATATCTATAACGAACGCTAATCTTGAATGAGTGTCATTTAATTGTCATTCATACGAAATTTTTGTTGTTCTCATTTTATAAATTTTTGCATTAGCTAAGAGCCTTAAGATGCGCTAATTAAAAATGTTTTATAATAGTTTTTATTTCACGATGATTTAATATCATTCTTATGTAAATTTTTCGTAAAGAAAGTGAATACGAATTATAGTATTTGAATATTAATATAATAGACAAAATCACAGATGAGTATATGTATGTCAATCTTTCAGTACCGATACTCAAGCGGAGCTACAACTCGTTAGGCAAGCAGCCTTGGAGAGCGGTGCAACTGATGCAGTAATATGCACTCATTGGGCCGACGGCGGGGCTGGCGCTGCAGCTCTCGCGGATGCAGTGATAGCCGCTACCGAAAAAAATAATAATTTCAAGCTGTTGTATGATCTCGAGGATAGCATCGAAGAAAAAATTAACAAGATTGCTAAAGAGATATACGGTGCTGGCCAAGTTGTTTTCGCGGAAAAGGTAAACAAAATATTGTCAATATTATTAAAAATATCCGGAATTATATGTATTCCAATAAAGAAAGTAATTTTATTAATATCGTCTATATGTGTTTGTATCAACGCGATTTTTCTTTGACAAAATAATTATATCTGTTAATTATATCGTAAAGAACTTGTAACATGCTACGTTAAGTATGACTGACATTTTGTGTATCATGACAATTATTGTAATATATAAATTTGTGCCATTCATTACAGGTGCAGAAACGGATCGAAGAGTACAACAAGTTAGGATATAACAAACTTCCGATATGTATGGCGAAAACATCGAATTCGTTAACCGGAGATCCAGCTATCAAAGGTGCACCAACCGGTTTCACCCTTCATATTACAGATATATTCGCTTCGATCGGCGCCGGATTTGTCGTGCCCATGGTGGGAGAGGTGAATGATTTTTTTTTCAATTATATATGCAATTAACAATAGAAATATACTAACAAGTAATTTTCACGTTATTTTATAATATATTTTAGATCATGATGATGCCCGGACTTTCGACTAGACCAAGTATCTACGATATGGACTGGAATAGCGAAACAGGAGAAATAGAAGGCCTATTTTAAATTAAATCTCTATTTTTGCACAGCGGAAGAAACATTTTCGCAATATCTGTATTAATATAATTTCTGAGAAAATTTACATATCAATATATATAATTGCACTCAATATAATCGCTATAATCAATGCCAATAAATTTTTTTGTACTCGAGAAGCTTACAATCTTTATTATTTATGTACAGCATGATAAAACATCCTGTTAAAATAAATATATAATACGTACATTGCAAGTGTACTATCTCAACAAGTTTGTACATTGATAAAAAGAGCGCGAACTATTACAAGCTTCGACATACTGTCATACATATAAAAGTGTACATGTCATTTCACCTTCATAATAGCACGCAATTTCGCGGATCGCGATCTCGGATTTGCCTCAATCTCCTCAGCCGTGGGCGTCAAGACATGCTTGTGCATCATCTTCCACGGTGTTTCTGTCAATCTCTTGACTTCTTCTATATCGAACATCTTACCATGTTGCGCATATTTCAACGCCACGGTATTAGCCACGTTGTCCGTTATGTTTCCAGATATATGCCTCTTGACTATGGTATCCTCGAGCGAGTGAAAGGAGATAGTTATCAAACGGCCGGACGGTTTCAAGTACACTTGCGCGAGAAGTATGCCGTAATTGATTTCATTTAACTCGTTATTAACGAAAATTCTAAGCGCCTGAAATGTTTTCGTGGCGCTGTGCGCAAATCTACCGAGGCTATCCCTCCTGATCTCACCGCCCAGAACGGACTCTATCAGCTGCGCCAATTCCCTCGTTGTCTCCAACTTTCTAAACATATACCTGGCTTCAACAATGGCACGTGCAATTCTCTTGGCGCGCCTCTCCTGTCCGTAAATTTTTATAATGCGTGCCAAATCCTCCTCCGTCGCCCTCTCCACCACGTCCGCGGCAGTGAGCTGTCCCGGGTATCGAGATCCGTCCATTCTCATGTCCAACGGTCCGTCCTTCGACAACGAGAAGCCCCTGTTCGCCACGTCAAATTGCATTGACGAGCAGCCGAAATCGAACAAAATGCCGTCCATACTATTTTTCCTAACGCCGTGTTCTTCAAGTAGCTGCGGCAATTCGGAGAATTTACCCAACAAAGGAACTACCCGCCCTGGATACCGCTGCGACAAGTTCTTCGCGTACTCGTACGCCAAAGGATCTCTATCTAGCGCGAATATTTTTATATCTGGCGAACGTTCTAACAATTTGGTGGCATGTCCACCGACACCAAATGTCATGTCTATATATGTCTTGCCTGGCGAGGGAGCCATGTGCGTCAGCACTTCCTGTGCCATGACGGGCACGTGAAGACTCCTGTCGGAGCGAACATCGCATTTAAAACTACATCGCCTCACATCGAATGAGCGTAGGAAGCCACCTTTCGCTAACAATGAGTGTGCTCTGTCGACGAAACAAAATCTATTCCTGTTAAACCTAATTGCAAAGTACGCGAGTTTAATCCCTGGCATTTCTTAACGATATAGTATTCCTTATCGTTGAATAAACTGTACGAAATATTCCCTTGTCCTCCTGCTTCAAGTACTCCAACATTTCCGGAGTCAACGCCAAGTTGCACTGCTCCCTGTTCAGCCCGCTCGCGGTGCTCGACAAGGAGCGCTTATAAATTTGTCCATAATAATTCGACGAAAGCCGATTCAAGCTTGAGTAATACCGATTACACTGCTCCGGATTCGGCTGGACGGTGGCTTCGCCTTTCGCAAACGCGGTCTTCAACTGGTCACGAATGTGCTGTCCCAGGTCTCTGAAAAATCATCGGATCAAATAGATAAACAGACGGAGAGAGAGAGAGAGGTTTTGACACGCCGCGCAAAAGTTAATGGTACGATAAATACACTGTACGTGTTCCTCATCGTTGAAAGCTTCAATATGATAAATTACTCTAACCTAACTGATGACAGCAAATGCCAATACGTTATCAATGACCCATGACCAATGATCGTTGTATTCGAAACAATTACATGTACGATACTTCGCCTGGCGTCATATCGTAATTTACCTGCCAGCTTTGCTTTTGTCCAACGGCCACGATTCCAACAGTCTCATAAAACTCTTATAATTGCCGGCCATAACGACGTCCGTTCCGAGTGCAACGTGCAACACGATGTTTCTCACATGATAACGAAACTTATTCATTGTAATTTACCCAATCGATCACTCGCAGGGCAGACCTACCGACTGTGAATAAGTTGAATAATATTTTATAATTTAACCGCGGCCGGTGATGTTATTCACTTAAAAATTTTAATTTTATACATATACATATATATATGTATACAAATATATATATATATATTTATATGTGCTAATGCGCTAATGCTGCATACAGCTAACTTATCGTAATTAAATCTCGTTACCAATCGAATATATGTGACGTAGCTATATATAGCTTATACTATAAATAATATATAATTAGAAAAAGAACGTGCAATATATTCCGTGGACACGTAGCATAAAATTAAATTAAATAATTTATGTAATATCATCGACGAAATACTGAAAAATCGTCATGCCTTGGCAAATTTTCGTGTTGGCCAAAGGACCCGGAGGATCCGGAGGTAATTGCAGAGTGTCGATGTTATCGACTTTTAACATAAATTTGCGATTTACTTGAATAATACATTATTAAAATTATGATTTTTATTATATAAATGCTTTATAAATAAGTATGATTACTTATAATGCTATAATATCATATATATTGCCGCAAAATTACTTTTTTTCCAACTGTTTTATCATCTCTCTAGATAATCAAACAAGGATGGTATAACAATAAAGTTTTAAATAAAATTAATTATTATTAGCAAGATATAATACAAATTAATTACAATGTGCATACATATCTAAAAAATATTGATCTAATAATAAATCGTTAAATTAATATTTTATTATTGATTAATTGATTAAATTTTAGCAATTACTAAACAGCTACTCCCGTAAGAGTGTCGGTCTTTAATATAGTATCTCATCGGTGATAATATAGAACAAAATTGAAAACTATGTGTGGATATGTTATCCGCCTCAAATATCTGTGGCCATCTGTAGCTACAATGGCTACATATATATATAATTCAACGCGACATGTATGTACACTGAACAGCAATAATTCGAAGGGTCATAGAAGAGTGGTGAACTTACCGACGTTGGGTCGATAAAAACGAATCCTCGCATACGGAAATTCGGAAAAGACATTAGCAATAATTTTATTTTAGACAATGAATAATACATAACCGATTTT